GCCTACAAATGTCAGTTCCTCAAAATGCTCCTTGTACAAGATTTATCATCTTACTGGTTCCCTCGTCAATGAGTTAATTAATCTTTGACATATCTTCATCCTATAGTCAGCTGACAGCCATGTTTTTAACTTGCTTAAAATCCTACTAGCATGTATATCATCTAGTGTTTCTTCCTTCAAAACAGCACCTGTATGGTATCACATCCACACACCTCATCAGGTCTGTCTCATCCTACCTCCCCCAGGAGAGTACACTCAACATGGGCGATGCAGAGAGCAGGGCTTGTGCTGGGAATGGAATGGGAGCTCCCCCTGACCTGGAATTTCCACCATTCCAGTCCTTTGGATTAGTCATATATTCAGTACACTGACTTCAAAGGACTGCTCTTGGCAGATGAGACACCCAGTCCACCACCTAACAGGCTAGGGACACTGGATCAGATTCCTAGTGCTGGGCTGGGCTGACGGTCTGAGCTGGTTTACAGGGAATAACCAACACTTCCTCATCCACGTTTGCAAATGATATGCCCGCTCGCTGGCTCGTGTCAGGAGGTGACTGAAATGCCAAGGGGAGCAGGCTCCGAGCCGGCCTGGGTGAAGCTAGCTGACCCTCAAGAGAGCAAAGCCCAGGACTTAGACTTCATTAGCACCTCTTCCTCTCACAGAATTAACCGCTCCAATCTGCCCAGAGGAACACAAGGAAGCAAAGAGATTAATGGATGTGGAGAAGAAGGCCTTCATTTGACCTACTTAACAGGTCACTGACAACTTTTCACACTCTGTTGAGAGAACCATCTGAGCCCTTAGCAGGTCCTTTGAGCCACTCTCTTGAAAGCCTCTCTAAGCTCAGTAAACAACTCTAATAGCTCCAAGAATAGAAAGTGACCTGGGATTTTAGCCTGAGCGCTGTCTGCCAGGCATATTTGCTGGCTGCAGGCTCTTCCCGGCAGTTAGTGTCTTGCCAGGGAGCTTATAGCCTAGGCTCCGCACATTCTGAAAGACTTTCTTTTGCCTGAGTCGCCTCTGGTGCTCCATTCCCCTTCCATGTGTCCAGCATCTACTGTGTACACCACGAGCAGTGCTGTCTGCTCTGCAGGAAATGAAGCACGCACAGTCTGTCCTCAAGAGTCTTCCCATCCAGTGGGAGATGGAAGACATAGATCTAAACAGCTATCATCTAGGGTAGAAAATGACCAGTAATTCACAAATATTTTGAAATTCTGTGCCAGTTAATCTGCACTGTGTACACAGTGAAGAGCAAAGCAGACTGACCCCTGTCATTACTAAAAGTTCAGGAAAAATCTGTTGAAGGAGGGAAGGTAACAATTGTCAAGCACTCACTATGGGCCAGGCTGTATGCCAGGCATCTTCTCATTTAATTTGCTCTTTACAAGTGCTCTCTCTGGGAGGTGATGTTATCCCCATTTTTAACAAATGAGAAAGGAGAAGCTCAGAGATGTTAGGTGACTTTCCCAAGGTCACTCAGATGGTAAGTAGCAAAGACAGGTGTTGAACACAGAACCATCTGACTTAAAATATCCTGGCCATTCAACCTCATTACATTTACTATAGGCATTTGGGGGCATGTCTTCCTTCTGTGCTGTTGTGACTGATTGGTTTCCAAATCAAGGAACTTTGGGGGTGCCTGGGTGGCTCAGTTGGTTAAGCATCGACTTCGGCTCAGGTCATGATCTCACAGTTTGTGGGTTCAAGCTGTGTCGGGCTCTGTGCTGACAACTAGCTCAGAGCCTGGAGCCTATTTCAGATTCTGTATCTCCCTCTCTCTCTGACCCTCCCCTGCTCACACTGTCACTGCCTCTCTCTCTCTCTCTCTCTCTCTTTCTCTCTCTCAGAAATAAATAAAAACATTAAAATTCTTAAAAAAAAAAAAAAAAAGGAACTTCCTAGGATACATGACAGCAAGCACTAAGACATCCACTGCTACTTTAAGAGAAGGACTCACAAAGCCATTTGCACTCTCCACAATGCATGATTAATGCTTGGCGTTCCTAGCATCATCTACATGATTCACTCATCCTCCTTCCAATAAAAAGGGGGAATAGGAGGGCAGAAAAGAGAGAATACCAGTGCCTTCCAGGGGCTCTGCCCCTTTCCTTAGGACTCTTTCTACTGGGACTGACCAAATACACAAACTCAACAGCCTCTACACAGCAAAGCTGAAAGCCAACAAGACTTCCACCCAAAAAAATGCCACCCTCTTGCCTCCCACCACTCTGCCTTAACACAAGGAAATTATTTCAATTCCTTCTCTTTCACTTTCTCTGGAAAAAAAAGAACTCTGGATTTCATGGCTTAACAAAAGCCATCTGCAAAAATGTCTAAATTAGTGAGTCAGGACAGCTAGACCTGCATGCTCACCTATCAGGCCCCATCTCCCCCAGTGCACCCTGGGTAGCAGGTGAACTGCTCCCTTGTCCCTCCCCCAGTGTACCCTGAGTAACTCTGGGCCATCAGCTTAGACATGTCCTCCAGAAAGCCTTCTCTGATGAAGTTCCAGCAGTGAGGGTGTGTGTGGGTGTGGGTGTGAGCACACACGCACACGTGAGCCTCACACACACATGCACACACATGCAGTAGTGCCCCCTGCATGTTCCCACATGCCACCGGCACCCACACACAAGCACAGTAATACCCCTACTGTGTGCTCCCACATCCATGCTTCCTCTGACATAGTATTTACTATACTGTGTGATGCCCAGACTTTCCCAATAAACCCCTCCTCCCCAGGCCCCATGACAGAAGGAACTGTATCTTGTCTTTCTACTCTTAACACTGAGCATGATCTAGGAACCTGATAAACCCTTGAGTGGGAGAAGGACAGCCAGAAGGAAAAACTATGCCCAGACTCTCATTCCATGGTCCAAATTCACTGGGCTCGCACGCAGGCCTGGTACAAGTCCCTGCAGTCAGAGCCACGCAGGGAGGGAAGGGTAGGGCCTGAGGAAAAGCAGCCTGGAGGGAAATCCCAACAGGGACCCCATGACAAAGGGCAGCACCATTGCTTAGGAATATATGCAGTACCCAACAGGGCCATGAGGGTGACTAGGCATCTGGGCCTTACTCCACAGATGGCTCTGGGCCTGGAGTTCATGGGAGACTCTGAGGGGGTCTCCCAAACAGCTGCCCCTGACCTGCATGTACTGAGCTCACTAGAGGCAGGAAATTCCATGTCGTAATGGCTGGATTTCTTCCCTTCATTCCTGATCCATGACTAGGTAGTGAATTGGTCATTAAAGAAACCATGTAGGCAGACTTCAGGAACATCTGACTGGGCTCCACGCATGCAGGAAGAGGAAAATAGAACAGGACAAAGCTCTGGAAATATGAAAGGAAATAAAAATGTTTGAATGCCCCTCTTCTGTCAGCGTCGTCACCAGGGCTGAATGGAGCTGTGTTCACCGCTTAAAAACACACATTCGAGAGCTCGTCACAGTGGCTATAGCCATGTTATCTAACTGAACACATGTTGATCTGGGTAGATTAGAAAAATTGTTCCTGGTGTCTAGGGAGGCAGCACTTTTATTTATTTTTTTTTATTTTTTATTTTTTTTACAAATAGTTTATTGTCAAATTAGTTTCTACATAACACTCAGTGCTCATCCCCAAAGTGCCCTCCTTCATGCCCATCCCCCCCTCCCCCCCACATCCATCAGTCCTCAGTTTTTGTCAGCATTCAAGAGTCTCTCATGGTTTGCCTCTCTCCCTTTCCCCCACCATTTCCCCCCTTCTTCTCCCCCTTGGTCGGGAGGCAGCACTTTTAAACAAGTGCTTTTCAAAGAATGAGCCATTGAGAAGTACTTAGCATACACATAGCCCAGGAACCTGAAAACAAATAAAAGTAACATCGGTACTGAATCAGCAACTCTGAGCAAGAGACTGGAGAATCCGGCCAGCCTCTTTGGGACATACTGTGATGAAGGCTGCTATGCAGCCTATCTCTGTTTCCTGTACAGCTAAGGGCAGAAGGAGCCAAAAATCATCTTTCCCTGCATTTGCACATTTTTTGATCAAGTAGGGGAAAAAAATCCCATACTCCCTCATATTTTACTTGCTTTTTCTAAAAAGAGATTAAACAGGGTTGGGGGGAGAGCTGGAATTTAAATTTGCTCTTTCCATTCATCATGAGAATTGTATTACTTTCACACTGCATGTGTTCAATCTGAGTTTAGTTTCAAGATGAGACTTTATTTCATTTCCAGGCATGTACAGGGTGGTGGGTATCCCTCTATTACTTGTCACTTTTGGACACAATTGCTTGGCAAGGCAGTTAGCCTGCTGGGTAAATCAAACTGCCTACTCTTCACTCTCTGTGCACCCCTTAGGTAGGTGAAAGCAAACCCGTACAACATCTCCTCTTGCAACTACGGTTCAAAATTGTAGTAAATCAGTTGGGCTAACGCGCTGGACTATTTAATTTAAAAACAAAAACCAAAAAGAAAAAAACCTTTTTGAAAATGAGTGTTAAGCCCTTCTCGTTTCATTATTAGCGTTCGCCTTAAAGACTCTAAAATAGGTAGGTGGGTTACTATTCTTTGTTTTCGTGGGTTTTGTTAACGTTTCGGAGACAGAAGCAGAGAGATTTCAGAGAAGTTGCTCACACAATTCTGTATCCCAAAAGGTGGCTCAAACAAAACAAAAGAAATAAATACCCTCACCAAGAAAGGCTCCAGCATCCTTTTGCTTCAGGAGCTGGATATTCTAGGGCCTAATCGGGATCAATGAGTAGCCTAGAGAGTGTCCAAGTGGCACCAATTATATTCATCTCAGTTGAGAAACGTAGACTTGGTGGAGCTCATCTGCTCTCACCGCAGGCCAAGGTTGCCTTTCACTTGGAAATCATGCTGTCCGCTTGGTTTAGAATATACATGGGTGAGGCATATGCTTATCCTTGCTGCCCAGGAAGATGTTGGCATGGAGAAATGTGAAGCCTCCTGATGGAAGCTTGCATTTATGGACTCTCCTCTTCCCTTCTCCCCTAGTTACCGTGACAGTGGGAGGCAAGCAACATTTGCTCGGACTGTATGACACCGCAGGACAGGTACGTTTTTCCTATTTTGATTCATTAAGGGCTTGGGAGTGGGGAGAAAGATCCATTTGGCTAGGCATATGGGGACTAACAGTACAGACATTACTTCTTCTGATCATTTGGGACAAATTTATTGTCTATCTAAATGACAACAAAAGGCACATTCTTAATATCATAAAAACATTTATAATTACCCAACAAAAACTAACTCAAAAAAAAAAACATTACTTGAGGTGTTGATAGGCAAATAACAATTCATTGATTGATGATTATCAATAACCAAAATAATGTAGTTGGCCAAGAGTCTCAATTTCTTCCCACTGATACCAATGCCTGATTCAGGATTAAGGAGTCCATTTTCTACATATTAGTTTCACTCATTTTTTTTTCATGTTATATTCTTTGCCCAGCCTTTATTTGGATTGCCTAATGAGCTGTGGAAATGTCCAAAAAGAGATGGGGGTTAGGTGGGGGTGGGGGGAGGGAGATGGATTAAGTGTCGGAAAGAAGAAAACCGGGATCCTGAATGGTTTCCAAAAGTGAGAGTCAACCCCTGCACAACTGGAGGTTGACTCTAAATTCTCTGAGATTCTTGAAATATTCTCGCTCTGTCAGAGATGTGTCTTCAGGTTGGAGAATGTAGCCAGCCAATAATGTAAGGCCATAGACTAGCGAGAACCCTCAACACTGATTCAGTCCAGCACATGCCCTACTTAGATGAAAATGCTACCTTATCTTTCTTTCCTCACACCCCACACTCCACTCTGAAAGGCTTCTAATGTTATAAATTCATGGGTTGGAGGCAAAGTGGTTAAGCAACTGATGGCCGTGGCCCAATTTCTCTGATAGAGCTTTTGTTACCATTGGGTCATTTATTTAGGTCAAAATCAGCGGGTTGTTCAGTCTGTCCAAATTCATACATCTTAAGTCCTTTGGAGTGAACGTTGACCAGGCTCTTTCCCACTGTGAGTTTCCTGCTAATTGTTCTTTGTAGTTATGCATTTGTCTGGGCCTTTTTTTTTTCCCCTTCACAATTATCTGGAGATATATCTTTTTGCCCAACTTGAAAACTCTATACTAGGAAAACTAATAATAAATGGAACTCTTTGGGATTTCTGTGTGCATTTGCAAGGACCATGTATAAATGTCTGTGGGACACCGGAGGCGGATGTTGGGCAGGCCCCGGCAGTGGGGAATTAGAAAACCTTGCACCAGACTCAAGACCCCTAAGAGTATCCAGTTTTCCCTTCATTTGCAGATGGCTGTTGTAGCCAGCTACTCCCAGGAACTGGGGAGGGAAAGAGACTTCTCACGTCAATATTGAGGTGCACAACTAGGAAAGGATGCTCCAAATGCCCAAATGGGAAAATTGGTTTGGCTCCTCTGAGCTAAGGTACAATTGTCTCAGTGCACCTCTTGCTTGACTACCCTTCTGCCAGAAAACCTTCTGGAAATAGAGGTACACTGCTTTTTGGACTGGATTTGCTTACTTTCTTTCAGTCCTGTAGTCATTAGGGTGTCCCCATTCATCAGAACTCAGCCTGAAAGCGACAGGAGTTTACACCCCTCATTCCCATAGTCAGAGTTTACAAATATAATCTAGTTTGAAAAATTCCATGCAGCAAGGATTATTGCCTGACTCTGAAACCTCGTGCCTTCTGCAAAGCTCCCGGTGCTCCACAAGCCCAGCCTTTGACCTCTCGTCTATAGCAACCACTGACAGACAATTGTTAGCTTCTGTGCATTCATTGTCCCCAGAACAACCTCCCCAGGCCTCTGTTTAATTTCAAATCCAATAAAATTGTTTAATAGCGCCTATAGAGTTTAATTATTGTTTTCTGCTGCTGTCCTTTTTTGAAAAAATTTTAAATAACGCTAATATAGGAGTTGAAGCTCTAAGGCACTATAAAAATATCTTTAAGGTCCAAATTGAAGGAAGTAGAATGATCCAAACCTCTGACACAGGTGAAGTGTTGGGCACTGATAAAATATCACAAGTGGGTTATAGATACTTCTTCAACTTAACTTTTACTCAAATGCTTTCCACCAGGTACTTTGAGAGCTCAAAAGTGGACAAGGTTCATAAGAGAGTGTGCAGCATGGGGAAAAGGAGTCAGGACACATCTTAAAGTTCCTTCTAGGCCTAAAATTCTATGATTAGGACTTCTAACAGATGACTTCAAGAAGGCCTAAAAGATCTGGAGTAATGAAGCCAGATGATTTGAGGCTAGACTGAAGGGAGACCTCCCAGCAATAAAGCATTGTTAGATATTGGAGTGTGTTACACTAAAGGGTGGCATGTAATTCATTTTGCACAATAGTGGTGGTTCTCAAACATGAGCAGACATCAGAATCACCTGTGAACCCTGTGAAAACCCAGCCCCTAAGCCCCACTTTCAGAATTTCTGATTCTACAGGCCTGGAAAGGAGCCCAAGAATTTGCATGTCTAACTTATTTCCTGCTGCTGGTCTGTGCACCGTGTTTTAAGGATCACTGTTCTGGAACCTTGCCACTCAAAGTGTGGCCCACCCACCAGTAGCAAATGCATCACTAGGAAGTTTCTTAGACCTGCAGATTCTCAGGCCCCACCCCCAGCCTACTGAATCTGAAAATTCATTTTAAGAAGATCCCCACATGATCCATATGCAATAAAAATTTGAGAAGCAGTACTCTAGAAGTCTTTGGTGCTCCAAGCATGGCTCCTAACTGTGGCAGAAAACAACCCTTACCTGAGTGGATTCCCACAGTTCTAGAATGGCTTTAACTCAAAAGCATTATCCCAAAATTTCCATTCTCAGCCTCAGGCAGGAGAATCCATCATCCTCAGTTATATTCTAGCAAATGTCACTGAGGTCACATGGTCAAGGAACATTTAACTAATTCAAACATACTCATATGGCCAGAGTGACTAAGAAGAAAGGGAGATGACCTCAAAACCAATTGATTAATCCCTGAACCACAAAAAAAGGAAATAAGTCGGGGCGCCTGGGTGGCTTAGTCGGTTAAGGGTCCGACTTTCACTTAGGTCATGATCTCGCGGTTCGTGGGTTCGAGCCCCGCGTCGGGCTCTGTGCTGACTGCCAGCTCAGAGCCTGGAGCCTGTTTCAGTCTGTGACTCCCTCTCTCTCTGACCCTCCCCTGCTCACGCTGTCTCTCTCTCTCCTAGAAATAAATAAAAATATTTAAAAAAAAAAAAAAAGGAAATAAGTCTCTGAAACCAACCATAGAGTTCTATCTTGCTGTGAATCACTAGATTTTCCTACATGAATAAACCCAGAAGTAGTGTCCCTCGTCTTTGTCTTGAGTTAAGTGTGGGTCAGAGTTGATGAAAACAACCGCAAGAGGCACTTGTTCTGAAAGGGAGAGTGATAGGAACTCAGTATCTCTGCCTTCAAAGTCAGCCCGAGACAAAAATGGCCAAACCTGGCTCCATCCACAGTGCTGTGTCCGGTCTGCCTTGGACACCACTGCAGCCCCACCACGCCCACCTCACACATGCTTCTGGCCCTTCATAAGCCTGCCAAGCATCCGCTAAAGACGGTCTACAATGAAGCCATGTGCATACACTGCCAGCACATGGCAGCTGCTATTAAAATTAGCTCCCACCCCAAATCCCAAAAAACCCCCGAATATTCGGACTTCAAGTAGAATCCGTTGAAAACAGAGTCCTCAGAACTCTGGTTCATCTATTAGGTAGAATCCCTAACATGAAGGTAGGCAATGAAGGGAGGCGTTTTTCATAGGCTGACTCTGCATGTTACCCCTCAGCTCACGCTGCAGAGGCAAGAAGGCCCGGCCCATAAGCCACATCTATTTAGGTCTGACCAAGTCATGCTCTCCCGCACATGCCCCTAGTAGTGGATTACTGAACGTGTCCCTGAAAGGGGTTTCTAGAGCTCAGATCTTTGGCTCAGCCACAAAGAATCCCAGAGCCAACTTTTCCATGACGTATGTGCAGGCCAGTATGTTTTGAGTGCATCATTGGAGACCTAGGGGACGACAGGATGCTGGGGTGGGGATGTTGCAGCAAAGCCTGGGCGTTTGCCAGCCAACGAATGCCAAACTGGTCTGTCCCAGGTCATGGCTCAGAGCCAGGCATCTTCCCACCCTGCTTCCAGCCACGTAGAGTGGAACCAGCCACAGCAGAAAGACAGGTTGCCTCCCGTGCTCTGCCACATGCACTTTGGGGGGTGAAGGCCTGCTCAGATTGTGGCCTCAGTCCTAACTCCAGGATAAACATATCTCAAAGACAGCATTTGCCAAAAGTGGCACTTGGCAACATGGCCAGGGAGAAATGAGAATCCCTGATGTCGGGAGCCTGGCTTCTCAGCAGGGTGAACCCCTGGGTCCTCTGCACACAGGCGCCACACAATGGAGCGCTGTCTGTGTGTCAGCAAGCACAGGATGGTGCTGAGAAACCATAGCCCCCAGTAGCTCAGCTGTCACCAGTGACCATGGAAATGTGGGAACAGAAAGGCCATCAGCCACACCCCTCCCTCAGCCAAGACTGCACACTGCTTGTCTTCACCTGCCCGATTTCTGAAGCCCCTCTCCTCACAAGGGCTTAACGAGGCACATGGCCAGGCAGGGAGGCAGGTACAGTTGGGGTCCATTAACGGCAACCCAGGGTCCACTTGGAAGAACATGAGCCTTCTCTTTTGTTATTGGCTGACCCAATGGGGCCATCTAGAGCACAGAATTGGGCCTCCTCCATGGATCCTCCATGGGAAGTTTGCCTCAAGTCTCAACACAAATGTTTTTCAATAAGCAACTCATCCTTTCTCACTCATATGCACCTTAACGTGGCTTTAGAAGTGTGCAATTTGGAGGATTTCAAAAAAGGTTGCTCACATGACAAAATATTAGTAAAAGTAACCTTAGGACACAATCTTATTTCTTCTTAAATTATTAAAAAAAAAATAGAGCCATAGAGACATTGATTCAGAGGTGCAATCCAAATATGCAAGCACTTGGGTCTCATTACTATGCAGCTTAGAAAAAGTTAATTTTG